ACAAAAAAAGAAGGACCACAATAGTATTATTTTAGGTTCAGTGGTCTTTCAGTATCTTTGTGTGTGTGACATTAATGGAACCTGATGAGAGGTTGTCATTTTCATACTGCCAGCACACTGGGCGAGAGTCACAGCCAGCTCTTCTTGTCAGCTTCCAGCATGTCTGTCTGTGCGTGCGTGTGTGTTGTAATTAATCTGCCTCAGTCATAAATTGCCAACAAACATTACAGACTGGATTCATCACTTTCATTACAAAGATAATTCTTCTTCCGTGAGAAAGGGAACACAATTTTTATTTTTGTCTCCCCACAAAGCGCGGTGGAGTCAGCCACCCCTGATTTGCCAGGCGACGGTGCAAAAGTGGGGGGAAAACTGCTGAATACATGAGCAAGGATAATAAAATTATGGCTATTTGAAAAATGGCACGGCGAGAAAACTGTCTCCTCCGCGGCTGAGTCAGCAACTTTGTTGAGTCCAGGCCCCTCGGTGGTCCTTATTGTCAGATCCTCCGTATTGATATTTCCGGCCGTTGTATGACTCTGCTCTTTTCATAGTTTTATCAAAGCAACTTTTTTGTCTGATGTGTGTTTTCCAGTGTGTGAAAAAGGATCTGATGTAAATGTAAAACACCAATGGAAGACAAACTGAAAGTATTGAAATTTAATATAATTTTCCTTCTATTGCCGCCGCAAATTGATCCTCGACCCCATGAGGGGTCTGCCCCCCACTTTAGAATCCACTGTTCAAAATATTGAATTATGGCTTCATTCAAGTTTTCACTTTCAATTATCTCCTTTTTTATGTTACGTTTTCTCTCCTAATTAACTCACTTTGTTCTTAATGCTGTCAATTATTCAGGTCTGCTGTAAAATGAATGGGTTCGAACTTCAAAGCAGCAAAAACTAAAAATCCATATCGACATAATGCAGTGTATTATGAAATTCTCCACAGAGAACAGGCTGCACTTCTTCTGTTCCTATTTTTTTTTTTTTTTGAGAGACAGACATTGAAAGTGAAACTCTCCTGAGCTGAGGCCGCAGTGGCCTATTTTGAATCGACTGTCATGTCGCTGAAATGCGAGCTGTCCACCAGGTGTACAGTATCCTTTGGGTAAAAGACAACAAATAATCACTGGCTTGTGGAGTTGATGACCTGAGTGGGTACTTCCTGCACTTCTCCGTACAGTTATACCCCTTTTGTCATCCAGTGGGAAATAACACACTAGTACACACTGCTGACAGGGCTGTGCTGACTCTGCTCAGCGGCCCGTTATCAGTGCTGTGAAGCTACATGGAAGCCAATTCCCAACTTTCTGGTACACTTATATAAAATAACTCTGCAGCATAAATTTAGGCTCCAGTAAAAGTGTGTCACATTGATGTACTTTTTTCTTCTTAATTTTGATGCAAGTCGTTATATTTGATATTTTTCTATGTCACCCACAGATGCCAACGTATACATTCACTCGTTCGATGGCGCTTCCTATTTGGAACTCCAGCCTCTTGCGCTCCTGCTGCAGACTCCAGTGACAGCGACCGCCAATGACTCCATCGTTACTCTCCATCTGACGCTGAAAAGCAGATCTGCACAGGGCACCATCCTCTACAGTGAGTATAATTTCTCTTTATTGCACATTTAAATCCCCACTGCACTGTGAATGGGAGCAGAAGCTGGAAGAAAGGCTGAGAGAAATTGTCTGTGCAAATCTATACTCATAGTGTATATCCATTATGTTTTCATAGGGCTTTTTTCGCCCTCTGTGAATGTCCTTGAGAATGCACAAAGGCTTTTCAAGATTTTTATGACATAATTCCTCATGCATAAAATAATAACGTTGGAGCGGGTAAATGTTGCGTCAGGATGTGTCACATTTTTTCTGTCGTGAAATGTTTGGTTTAGAAGATCAATGCACCGTTTTGAGAGATGTTGCTTTTACTGTGTTGTGGTGGACAGTTTCCTGGCCTGACTCTTTGTAGCTGTTTCCATTCTTCTGTCTGTTTATGCAGCACTGCCTTCAGAATGCTGTTACTGTTATATTCCTAAGCCACACATATGATAATGCATGTTTGTTGCTTGCTAAAATACCAGAAGTTTCCATTTAAAGACAAAGTAGTTCCAAAAATGATCCTCTCATTTTAATGGGACACAAAAATGAAATTGTGTTGTTGTGCACTCCAGCAGTCTGCAGTTGTTCTGCTTTCTGCCTTTTTGGATTTTTTTTTTTGTTTCCAACTGCTGGTGCGTTATTAGGGTAATTTTTTTTTTACCAGTAGAAAATAGACCAATTATTTTGCAGTGATGTTTTTGCTGCCAGTAGCATTGCAAGAAGAAGGCTTATAGACATCCATTAAAAATCTCCATCTCTTCCCATGAAAATAATAATTTAATTTTATTCACAAACCGTTTGGATGCCATTGTCTAATTAAATTCTTCTAATTCATCACCTTTCTAAATGTCTGTGAGATGGAAAACAAGACATATTAAAACTTTAAATAAACGATTTTTGTCTTTTTACCAATCAGTGTCCAAATCCCTGAATGGACTGGTGAATTTGATTGGCTGTGTAAATGGTGCAGCCAGCAAAGCACAGCAGAGGAGTGCTAATGGTGCTCATGGTTATAGCAACCCCTACAGGCAAGGAAGATTATGTTACTCTATGGTTGTCCTTAAGTGCCTTGTAGTGTGTTTGGTTTAGTACTGGTTGGTTATGTCACTTCAGTGGCTGTTTCAGGGAGGTCAGCTGGGGTCATTCTGGGGAGATCAGTCGCTCAATTAGGAAAAGTGGAAACACGTTTGCATCATTACTTCCTCAATGCAGTGAGGACACTTTAAGGATGTGAGAAGATCAGTAGAATTTGCTGTAACTAAGCTGTGGTGGAGTTAGTAGCGTTAGTGCCGTACAACAGCCATTTACTTTGCTCAACATCACTTCTCATTGTTCTCTACTGTATAACACAAACAGAATAAAAGGGCTGAGGAAAGTTGTGTTTAATCACGTTACTGTGAAACTCCACAGAAAAAGCTTTGGGACAGAAACACTGGCTAAAAAAAACAAATTCATGAATCACCACAAGTATAAAGGAGCTGGTTGCTTATGAGCAGATCATGGATTGTGCTGACCATGACCTCTACATTGTACACATGCCCTCTTTTATTCCCACACCTGCACAGAGGCACACTTTTACACTGAGCAAGGAGGCAGGGGGAAGGAGACAAGCAAGGAGACTCATTTTCTGTTAAAGGAAGGACATTTGGGGGGTTAGAACTAGCAGGCACGGAGTACACAATTACTGTGAAACAATGGGGCATTGTTTTCTGTGTGTGTGGGGGGGTCTGTATATTTGGGGTATTTTTCAGGAGCTGTAGAAGAAGCCGTTCAATTCTCTCCTACAAACTTGAGCTTTAAATATATAAGATGTTAATTGAGCTTTGTAGATTCTAGTTTGCTTCAAAATATATACGTAGGTTGTTTGTTTGTTTTTTGCATTTACTGTAATTATAAATAGAAAATATGTTACACTATTAAACATAGTCAGAACTGGTAGTCTGGCAATCCAGAACTGTAAAACTTCATACTGTGTTTTCTTGCTTCTACAAATACTCAAAATAGTATTAATAGTGTAATGCAACATGAACTACCTTTTAAAACTCACTGAAAAATGATGTCAATGCCATTTTCTTGGCCTGTGTCCTGGATGTGTTATATTTTATAACCTCAGAGCCATACTGTAGGTTTGGTGTCCGTATCTGGCGGAAAATATGCCATTCAAAAAAATGACTTGATGGTGTGATGCTGTCTTTGGACCGTGTGAGAACACCGTAGGTGAGCTGAAAATCCAACAGGATTGAAACCTGTGCAGTAATCACAGGTTATTTTCTTTGCTCCAACTCTGCACAGACATCTAAGATTTCCTGCTCTCCTGTTACCTGGACTGACCCGTGTCTGTTACCCATGGGATGATGGTCTCTCATTTTCTCTCTCTCTCTCTCTCTCTCACACACACACACACGCATCCTGTTCCTTCGAACAAAGCTTGGAATCTCTGCCTCCGACCACTGGCACAGCCTGGTGTGGAGCAGAGAGCCTTTAGTGCGTTGGTCGTGCAGTTCCAAACTAATTAGTAGTTCATACCTTTTAACTATTTAACACACTTTTCGTTAACACAGTCCTATTGCTAATCAAGCAAGAACTGACCAAGAACTTTTTTTCCCCACTGGCTACATTCTGTTGTGTTAAATCTTACTTAAAAGTTTAAAGTGTTGTACACTGGGGTGTAATGAAAAGCTTTAGTTCTCTGAGCTGACATCGGGCTCCCATGATGGCTACTGTTTGAACAAAGACTTAAATCTTTTCGTTAAAGGACCCATTAATTAGGCAGCTCTTGGAAAGTAATAGAACTCTAAATTAGTGCTTTTTATAAGGTTGCTGCACTTGAAAGGTCAGCTTAGTCTTAAATATACAACCGGCAGGGGAGTTTGAATGCCCAGACAAATATATGTGGTATCCTGTCTGACACAGGTGCCCAGTTGGATTGATCAAAACTCATTAGCCTTTTCAATTACTTACCATTTGTAAGGTAATAAAAAATATGTTTGCAAAGGAGTGAAGGGAAATCAGCAGAGTAATTGCTGGACAATGCTTGATTTAATGGTGCTCTTTAATTAACAAGCACTTTATGTAGTGAAAGAAGGTATTTTCCGGATGTTTCTTCACCCAGACGTAAAAGGAATTTTTAATAATGTTTTTCTGTTTTTCTGTCACTTCTGCAGCTTGAAAATATGATTATTCTTTTTTTTTATTCTAACAGAAAAGCAACGTTGAATTGTGAGACTTAAAAACTACCAAAGTTGAAAATGCCTGGAGCCAGTTGTAAGATGTGGTGCTGTGAAATAATTTCACCTAAACTCTGCTGTTTACTCTCACATCCACTGCCAACGGTTATGTTGTTTTGTTGATCTGAAGACACAGCCTGACCGATCCCTCACACCAGATGCGCTCCAAAGATTGGTTTGGAAAAACAATGACGGCTGCATCAAAAGTGAGACGTTTTTTACCGCAAGTGAATGACTGTAACTCAGAACATTGGCGAATGTGACGCCCTTACCTTCTCTCATTTCCATCCACGTTAACAATATTCCATCTCGACAGGAACCGTAGAGCCTGTGAGTGTTAAACTTGAAAGATGAATGTTCAGAAGGCACACGGTGCATAGAGGGCACCGTGCCTTTTATCTCACTTTCCAGGCTCACAGCTCACCATCTCCTCCACATCAGAAGATAGGAACTGAACAGGAAACTCAGGAGATCAAACAGACAAAGTTAATCAAGAGACAACCAAAAGACAAGCCTTGAGATCCACGCCAGACCCTTTTCCTTATTCTCCACCCCACGCCTCACACACCGAAGCAAACATGTACGTTTCCCTCTGGACTTCAGTTGTCAGGCTGAGAAGAGAAATACGAGGAGGTGGGGTGAGAGCAAGAGAGGTAAGGTGAAAAAGAGAGAGAGAAAACAGGTGACAGGCCGCCGACAAAAGGAGGAACGCGCCGTTAGGCTCGGTGCCGAGTAACAGGGCCGTGGGGACAGTGTGGAGAAATATCCATACAGAAAGAAAAAACAGGAAAATGTACGACAGGGAGACACGGACCTCTACAGTGCATAACATTTGTCAACATGTGAATTATGGTCTTTAGTGCAGACAACTGGTTTTGGACAGAGACGAAGTCTCATTGGTGCAGTGGGAACTTTTGTCTGTGTTGTTTTTGTTTTGTTTGCTGCAGCATGAATTCATTTACTGCAGACAGGCTCCAATGAATCTGTGTTTTGCCAGTTATGTAGGTGATGATCTGCCAAACATGGTTCTGTTCGCTGTCGTCACTTGCATATGATTTTTAAGGGTGTTTTAAAATCCATAACAAAAGTTAGGATAATGTATGTTTTTTGGATTTTGTGAAATTCTATAGTAAATCAGTGACAAAGAGGAGATATTCTGGAAGTAAATCCTTTTCACTGCTGGCATCACGCTTTCAGGCTGTGACGTCTGTTGAAGGTGACTTCTGTGCTACTGCTGTTTTTACAAGATTTTCAAACATCCTGCTGAGACAGAAACTTGCTGCTTTCTAGGAAGTCAGAGTCTGTCTTCTCTAAACACAAGCCAAAGAGAGATGTTTGAAAAACAACATATTTTCTTGGTCATTTTCAAATACTTTATTCTTGTTTATTTCTTTTTGGGAATAGACAGAAGACAGAAAAATGAATATTTTGTCATATACTGAATATTCTATTTTCTGAAGAGGAAATCAAAATGTTAAAATAAAAAATAAAATAGTAAAATAATGAGCAAAATAACACTTACACTTAATACTTCTGCAGCTAAGGTTTCATTTCAAGGGACTAAAATAGACTTCCCTTCTTTCAGCCTGGGTCTTTTGCAAATCTTTAGTGATTTGCGAAGAAATGTTTTTGAGTTAATATGTTCATTTTAATGGTTTAAAAAAACAAATGAAAAACAACAAAATAAACAGTGTGAGTTTCTTAGGTATCAGTTCAGAAAAATCAAACACTTATTAATCATAAGATCTGTTCTGGACCTTTCTGACCTCGCTGTGTGTGAATACTTACCAGTGTAAAGTTTCTCAAATTAGACAACTTTTCACAGGGAAAACTTTGGATTCTGAGCAAATGCAGCAGGAAAAGAGGAAACTTATATTGACTTATTCCATCATGAGGAACAGGAATGATGAAAATGATGGATTATTCAAGTTACATACATTGTCTTTGGTCCAAAGGACTGTGGTTAAGTGCAGCCCTGTCAAGTCCTATGACAGGAAAGACCTCTGAGCCGTCTTTAAAGATGCATCGTCACAGTGCAGAATTATAATCTTTGCGGAACGTCAGTTCAGTTCAGTGTTCTTTCCTGTTATTATGCACGATTTTTAAAACAGGCTACAGTTTCAGTAAGAATATGTCTCTGCGTAGTGTCAACATTGTCTTTTTAGGTTCACATGGACCACATACTGGATGTCTGCTCTGTTTACAACACTTTTCTGTACAAGGCTGTACTGTAAGAATTAACCGAACATTATTTTATTTTTATTTTTTTTGACTTACTTGAGATTATCAAACGATTTCCAACCAACTATGGAAAGAAGTTTTGGAAAGAAATGTGATTTCTATCAAATATGCATTGATTGGTGGACTTTTTTTTTTTTACAACTGGAAATGTGACTATATGCAGTTTTGCATGCGAAAAGGCGTTTCCCTTCTTTTCAGAGCACGATTAGCGTGACCCAAGCTTTGGAGATGACACATTTGCAATGTATTTTTTGAAAAAACCTGGCTGTTCCTGCAGCATGTACGCCCTTGTCCTCGCCTAGTGAGCTTCTCCGGCTTGGTTTCTAACTGTCCTCGCTCAATTATCATTGTCACAGTGACATCCAAGGGAGGGGGTCAGCCCTGTTTGTGTTGCCCTCTTCTCAGATGCTCCCTGTGGATTTGCGCCCCGCTCCCTCCCCAGCCCTCCTTCTGTTGTGCCTTGTTGAAACGTTGCTGCATTTTAGGTCTCTCTAACAACGCGGCGCTCCATCGCTGTCCTCTGCCCTACAACCATGTTTGCTCTGACAGCCGCAGCCTCTTTCTCTCCATCTCTGTCTTTTTCAAAGAGCCGTTTTCTTGTGTTGTCTGCCCTCTGCTCATGTCTTCTCAGACAGAGGTGTGGGACTAATGTGCACTCTCTCACTCTCCATCTCGCTTATCCAGCATTCTGGTAGCTTGTGTGGGAGGATTAATGCCACTACTGTCTATTCCTTCTTCAATTCAGAGCCTCACATGCTGGAGTCTCATTCAAAACTGCAGCCAATTTTGAAATAATGAGCACATTACTTATTGCCATCTTGAAATTGGCATGTACCAAATAATGTGTGCATCATTCTCAGAAACAACATTTTCAGAAAGTCAATCACTAGACCTGGTCCAGTTGCACATGTTCATATTAATGGGGGGGGGGATACATTGCAGTGACTTCAGTATCTGAGCCTGTGATTGGACCACGCCGTAGAATACACCTGGTGACCTCGCTTTTGTGTCTTGTCTAATAACACATTGTGAGAAGCACAAAGCAAAATAAGGAGTCCGTATGAACAGAGGCGGTGAACACTGACTGACTGTGCAGTGACATTTGTTCACCGACAGGAATCCTTTGATAGAGTAATGGTTATTGATCACAGCCCGAGATTATTTTGACCTTCCTACAGTGTCTTTTCCACTTTGGTCTTGTGTATTAAATATTTTATACTTTTTTTTTAATTTAATCTCTTTCGCATATTGTCTCTTGGCATAGGCGATAGACAGTCGATCTGTCGATCTAGAGCGTCATCTGCTGGAGGGGCGCTTTTAGTCATTTAATTATATGTGTGGGGGGGGGGATTAATCTCACCTAGGGCAACAAATTGATTGTTGAGCTGCCCTGGTCAATGCACTCACTGGCTTGTGTTTAAATTTTTATTATTAATTTAAAGGTGCAGCTGGCAGGATTTGGCAACATCTAGTGGTGATGTGCATGTTCCGTGACATGTTTTGTTATGAAATGCAGTTGATCAGTGGAGGGAATTTCATTGTCTTAACACTTTTCGAACAAGCTAGTTAGAATAGTTTCTAACTTTTTTTTTTTCCAATCATAGCACGGCAGAACCTTGGAGATCAGTTCCTCCATATCTTTCTTCAAGATGGAACTCCGGTGGCTGAACGTGGATGCGGTGGCGGTCACGTTCTAAATGTAGCAGCAGACCAGAACATCAACATCAATAGATGGATGTCAATCACTGTGCGGTGAGACATGAATCATTTTCATTCCAGTTGACAAATGCTCCTTCTTTGTCTTTTAAATTGACATCTTTCCAATGATGTTTGAATGCAACATTCGTTACTGTCGTCAGTGAGACTTTTATCTGAAGCCTCTTTCACTACAGTCACAAAAACGACTTAAAGAGACAGACAAAAAAAGTAACAATAAGATCATCAACTGGCGGTTAGCTGGCCAAATGCAGCCCACCAAACTGTCCAATCCGGCCCACGACTAGATTTCAAAATGAACATCAAATAATGATGTTAAACAAAAATCTAAAATTGTCTTACCAGGTTAGTTAACATCATAATTAAAAGCAATTAATTTTGCCAGCATGTCACTGAATTTCTCAGTTGTTTTTTTTTTATATATATATATGACATCTGGATCATTTAAAGCCACACGTCACTCTCTCCGCAGGAGGAAGATTCAATTTTGACTCCTGGCGAGAAAAAAAGACTTGGTACCAAATATTGAAAGTGCATTTCCCAAAGTGCATTTGCATTTTCAATACTTCTTCATCTAAATAGGTGTGAGCACAAAGCTTTCCCATGCACAGCTGATCCTCTGTCTCCGAAGAGCACACAGACTTACAGTTTAGGCTCTGTAGGGCAGAATGAGCCAGCGGGAGAAATGAGAGGAGTCTTTCCACTGAGCTCTGCCTCTATTTATTCCTGATCGCTTCAGCAATTTTATTCGTATGCAAATGAGTGCTTGACATCATCTTGTCATGGCTGAGTAGTGAATACCCAATTTCCTTGGATGATTATTGGCAGCTCTGAATACAGCTGCTGCAACTTGCTGCTGTCAGCAGCTATGCAGTTCACACCGGTGGTTGAATTTAACTGTAAATAACCCAAGCTCTTGTGACCGCAAAGAGAAAAAAAAAATCCAAATTGCCTGATGTCAATATAACACGAGTCTCTTTCATTCTGTTTTTCTTCCTTCACCTGAACACAAACATCCGCAATTGTCATCATCAGCCAGCAGTCGTCGTCCTCCAGTGGCACAGATCCTTGACAGTACAGTAGTACAGTAGCTGTAGACTTTCTCACGTCATATACTGTACAGTAACATTAATAGCTGGTCAAATGTTGTGGCTGCTGTTACTGGGCTCAACTCTCCACAGTAAAAAGTTCATTTGGTTGACACACAGGGCGATTTTGACCTTAAATGGTAGAGACAGTAAATTGATTTTTTTTTTTGTTACCACCTTAAATCATTTGTTGTGATAGCATCAAAAGAGACAACAAAAAGATTTTAGCAGCTTGTACTGACAGTAAACTTGAATGAATGATTTGCCTTTCTCCACTGTGTGAAGTGATTTTGCACCAAAATGACAGGGACAGAGGAAACATTCTGCCAAATGACTCGCACAGTGGAGACACAGCTTTAAAGTGAACCCAGTCTGATTTATTTTGAGTTCAAAGTGTGTCTAGAACTAGAACTGGAGCCAGTTTGGACCCTCTGCTTCAGGCCACGTGGAAGTTTGGTTTGGTGCACCATGTTGAACCCTGGTTTAGCTTCACAGAAGGAAGATCACCGGCTCTAACTGATGGTCTCTGCATTTGGAGTTTTGGATATTTGTTGGACATGGAACAAAAAAAAAGTTCTAGCGAGTTGAGTTGTCCAACACAAGATGAGAAAGTGACGTCAGTTAATCAGAGAGAAGACATTTCACAGTTCTCTGCCTTTCCTGGTTTACATTTATTTGTAACAATGTGTTTTTTTCTTTAGATGAAATATCATGTTGTGAGAACCAAAGTTAGAAAGTCAGTCTTAAAACTTCACACGGGGGACACTGCTGGGGGAACAGGACTAACTTTTAATTTTGGTAAAGGACATGCTTGTCTTTGTGGTAGTTTTAGATGTCCAACATTTCCTGTCTCCGGGGGCATTTGAGGCAATACTGCAACGATTTAAGTTTGAGTGGCAGACTCCCAAAACGCTCCCTTGGTCATTTGTGAGAATGGGAACGTTATTGACTGAACTCCGTCATGCTGTGGAATCACTGTGGGAGTGAATTTCATTCACTCTCTCGGCAGCTCCAAATGTCTGCCCTTGTCACCAGTGACTCAGAGTCATTGGCTCGTGTCATTATTCAAATTTATGCCATTTTTGGTGATTTTTCTTTTCCCTGTCTTCACTTCAGTCATAAAAATCAAAGCAGTGTCTAAGGTTTTCATTTTAGTAATGACTACATAGAAATTTTCATGTTTTTATGTCATAGGATTTTGTGTTTTGCAGCTTATGGATTTTTGTGTTTCTATAGTCTTCTCTTCTAGAGCATTTAACAACGTGTTTCACTTGAATCCATCTACTTCAGGATTATTCAAACTTTTTTTTCTTGGTTATTGTAAAGACATCAGTGTGGAGCGTCATCCTCAAAATAGCCCGCGTGACGGTGGGAGTCTGTTCCAAATGTTTTTTGTGATTCAAATTCTTTTGACACTGGCTTAATTCATGCAAAAGAAAATATTCAAATCGTTCTCACTACTGTCACAACAGTTTACCAGAAATTATTAATAACACACAGCATTATGATTGCTGCCAAATAATAAAGCAGCCTCTACCACTTAACACTGTCAACAGCCGGTGAGTGTGGGGGAGGTCATCCAGGATGACATCGGTCCAAAGTCTGGACAGGTCACCTGTGCATTCTAGGGTCACATATTAACGCAAACATTTAATCAGACTCACAGTTGCTTCTATTTAAATTTAAATCTTTAAATTATTGGTTAAAATATACATTAAATTAGCAGATTACAGTACATTTATTGTTTGAATTTCAATGTGATGGGATAAAAAATACACAGTCTTTAATTTCTTTTTAGATTATTTTTCCATGTAAACATTAATATTCCCACTTACATTGTACATTTACAAGCTCTCTTTTTGAGTTTTATTTTAATTTGTGACTCTTTTTGCATTTTTACGATATACGAATATATGAAGTTACATTACATTCAGTTAGAACATGTTTAAAAGTAAAACAAAAAAAGAGAAAATAAGTTTTCGGATTAATGAAACTGGTACTGAACTTTTTTTTTTTTTTTTTTACAATTTACATACACAGTATGTTGTATACTCTTTAAATCCACTCATATCTGGTTTAACCCATGGTGTTGTTCTACACCCGAGTGCTGCCACCTGCAGAACTGGTAATAGGTTTGTCTTATTGCCTCCTGCTATTTCTTTTAAGGGTAAATTGAAACGAGTGATTGTAGGCTCTTTAGGTTTCTCATACTGAGAAATAACTTTGAGTGCATCAGAAATATCTTTTCAAATCATCAGTCCAGAGTGTGTGAGTGTAATTTCCATCGTGTTGTTCAGAGTTTCTCCAACATTTATCTGAACACGATTGCTGCCATTTGACTGGTATTTGAGAGGTTCTGAAGAATATTATTATAAATGTTCAAACTTCTCACCAGATGAACTTCTTCACCCGCTCGTTCCCATGTTTCTGGGCAGATCGCCTTGACGGTTTTAGTCTCCCGCGGCCCTTTAATACACAATTAATTATTTGGATCATTCGATAAGATACTGTATCGTCTAGAAGTTTATTTTAGTTCCAGAAATAGTTGTTCAATGTGGGAGAGATTTTATATTTTGTCCCACTTCCTGATGGGTTGTTGGTGTGGAATTACCTTGTTACCTATCTCTGTATATACCATATTTAGACCAGTGTTTGAACCGTGAATATTTCTGACTTTACAAATAGTTCCAGTAGTGTCTTCAGCAGATGTGGGGACTCAGCCAAGTATTACCTTGCTGCCTTCACTGACATGTACTGTACTAGTCTAGTAGTTTACAGTGTTCTTACTGACTCACTCACTTCATGTTCTGCTGCTGACAGGAATGGTAGAGTGTGTTCTTGTCTTGGATAAACATTTTGATATGTAACAGATAACAGACAACCCTGAGTTCATGAACGCAATTTTTGTATTATTTAAAAAATGGATTGATTGCACTTTTTGTACTATAATAGACCTTGGGTTCTATTATGGACATGAACATACCCTCAGTAGTAGCTGCAGCCCTGTGTATTATTGGAGTAGTATAAGATTTATAATAACAGTTTGCTCACATCATCGCCTCTTTTATCACAATGTGTTTATCTTGGTACGTTGTAAAATTTCAAGTGAATAAGCGATGAAATTACACCTAGACTTTTGAAGATGCCACATCATTTTACTCACATCTCACATCCACCGTTGCCCCGGTTGTTTTATTCCAACCCGATGTTTGACAGCAGCAATTACTGAGGCTGTGTTTACAGTAGGACTTGATGTCAAATATAATGGCCGCAGGAGTGATGTCACGATCACGGGAGGCTGAAAGGACAGGATATTAATTTCCCTTTCTTTTTATTTATGTGGTGTCGCTCTCATAACATGCAAGGAAATCAAAAGTCCTGGTCATTTCATCACTGATGAGTTACGCACTGACAGAAACATTAATCAGAAAGTCCAAATGCGGGTGAAAGGTCAATTGTTTTTTCACTGAAAAAATATAAACTTATTTACTTTTGTTGCAGTACAAAGTAAAAAACTTGCAGTTCATATCAGCTGATGACCTGCTTAAGCTTTATAGTTCTTGAATGTTTAAATGTTCATTTAAATGTTGCTCTTTCAAATTTACAACTTTACAGAAAATTACAAAACTTTACACATTTTTTTCAAATCATAGACTTTTTATTTTTGTTGCTATATCAGAAAAACATTTAAATTTATTTCATTTTCATTTTTATGTCACGTCAAGTGTCTTTAGTGTATTTTGTTACAGTTGTGATTGAAGGATTTATATAAAAACTGACCACTGAATGTTGTTTTGATGTAAAAATAAATATGGGTGGATGTGGAATGTTGCCTAGCAACAGTTGCTGCATGAGGAGGAAGAAGACAGAGAAGTGCTGTGAGGTAAAAGAAGTTTAAAAAAAGTAACGTTTCACAACATTTCAGAATTCCTGTTTTCAGTATTTTCAGAAACATCAGACACATGTGAAGTTGAACAATGTAGGTTCATGAACTTCTCGTGTGTAGCTTAAACGTTAAGTCGCCAGCACTAATTTGTGTTCTTCTGAGAAAAGTATTTTGGGTATAATTAAAAAACTGATCCAATCTGGAAAAAAAACCAAAACATTTTTAATGTTTTAAATTTTCTTTAAAATGTTTTTTTATTATGTACAGCTCTGTAAAAAGTCAGGTTGTTATTTCATGTATTGTGACTTTTTTTCCCCCACCCAATCGTCATGTGACACCACCCAATGTATGGCTGAATATATTTATCAGTGACAGTGTCTTCGGCAGTGCTTTGAAAAGTACTGTCATAAAAGATTCATCTGCGGAGCCACCAGTAGCCCTGGCTGTTCACTTTGAGTTTCTTTTGTGAAGCCCTCGATGCCAAGAGGCTCGCTGCGTGCTGTCTAATTGTGTTGGTGGAGATTTAATGATAGAACACAGGACATCCTAATTAATTGAGACTTGCCAGTCACAGCACAATTATGCAGCAAATGCCGCAGTGCTCCTTGTGAGAAAGTCATTGCATTCGAGACAGAGAGAACATTACTGTCATGGTAGGTGGCGAGATTGTGACGTGATACGGCTCTGTGTTACGTTTGTGGAGGGTGGAAGGGCCATTGTGGGGGGGGGCGGAGGGTTGGTGGAGGGTGTTGGCAACAGATTTGTCCTGACACCTTCTGCTGCTAGTGCACAGTATGTGATCTCTGTTGTTATATTTTCTTGCAGTGACTTTTTTTTTTCAAATTGTATGTTTTAAAATACTTTCTGTGAGGTAAAAATGTAATTTTACAGTAATATTTTTCCTTTAGTGTTGCAGGATCGTTTTACTGTTTGTCTGCTCAAGTATGAGACCCTCGTGTTATATTCTCCGCCTGCCTGGATAATAGATTCTTGACACTGAATCACCAAAAAACTTGCAAATATAAACTCTCTGCTGCCATATGCCTCAGCTTTTGTATAAATCTGAATTGGGATTACAATAGCAAACCATAAAAAAGGGAACAACCACTGTCAGCCTGTCAAAAGTGTGGCACCAGCAACAGGGCAGTGTGTGATGTTTTACTGCCATCTGTTGCCAACATTTTTTATGCAATAATGTCATTTTAATCATCATCCTCCCACCTCCTATATTATCTGAAGGGGACAGTGAGAGAGGCGGGGTCCAAGTAGGATTGTAAAGACAAATACCTAGCATCAGCTTAAACAAATACCTTTGTGTAAAGGTGCTGTGCAGAAAATATTTTGCAGGGTCCCTTAATGTTGCAGGTAATATTTCAGTGGTGAAGCGCAGGAAACTTGCAGTAATTCAGATGCGCCAAATTAGTCACCCGCAGCCAGACATCGTCTAAAAGAAATGACAAATGACCTATGATGAGAACATGAGCTGGATGAACAAAAGACCATCGAATCAGCAACACTGATCACATCCAATGTGTGGTTCTGTGCGAGCAGATAATTATGGGATTATGTTTGTTTACCTCAATTTGGGAATTGGCCATTGCTGTTTCCTGTGAGACCCAGCAGTGGGCGGTGCAATGGCAGCCCAATAAGACATTGTACCGCGCTTTATCTCTGTGAGACGAACCCACGTCCTCTCTTTCTACACATTCACCATTCCCCCCCCCCCCCCCCCCCCCCCCATGTTTGTGTAACCAACTCCATTGTGGTTTTGTGTTTATGTGTTTGCGAGATAGCAGAGGTGATGATGATGTGGCGCTTGGGGCATATTCTGAGCTCGCCGACTACAAGACCAAGTAAAGGAGCCATAGAGTAGTCATCTTTATAAATAGTCGTCTCTGCCTTCGAGCTAGACCAATGTAAATTAGCCTGGTGGAGCATTCAGTGCACATGAGAGTTTATCAAGCAACATCATCCTGTTTGCATAGCGAGCATCCTTCCCGTGTCTCTGAGGGACAGTCTTTTCAACATTAGCCAGCCAAATAAAAATCGACTCACTGAGCAACAAAATATGCCTCAAACACCCTGGGCAACACAATTATCTTGTAAATTGTTATGTTTTTTGGTTGTATTTCATCTTTTTACTTGGACCTGTTATTTGTACGAGATATAAAAAAAAATGTCAGGGCTGGACTGTTTTTTTTTCACTCTCTGAAATGGCTTGCTGATCACACATTGTTATGTAGATTTCTGGAAGGGTGACCTTAGAAATACACTGTACCACCCCTTCCCCCTCTGACTTCCCCCCAGGGTGGTGATTGATGTCTTTTCTGTACCATAGGTTGCTCTTTACACCCTGACTCAGAGATTTGCTTTCATTTGTGTGTAAGTTTGTATGAAAACAGCTCTGGTGATTTTCTTACCTGTAATTAGTCTTACCTGAAGTTGAAGATGAGTTCAGGGGCCTGAGGGAGTCATCGTGGACGGCTGTTTCAAATTAGAAGGAGGGCAGATGCCCTGATTGTTTCCATCTGGCCATTAAAACACACGTTAGAGGGTTTTACCTCATCAACAGAGGAACAATCACGAAGACGGGATGAATTAATTTGGCTGGATCTTATTTGCAAACGGCAGCGTGTTACTCACGGTGTTAAGTTTATGGAATAAAAATGCATCGTGTGGATAGTTGACTCGCTGATTTGTGTTCACGTGTCCAGGGGTAGAACGCCAACAACGCTTTGCATAATGTGCGGCCGCAGTGAAGAAGCTGCAGTTACTGTGGATGTGGTTAGCATAAAGCTGGTGATGAATAGGAGAGTGAGAATCACTTGACTTTGCCAACGCTACGTTGTGACACAAGTAGACCAGCTACTTAACATTATGGCTGCAACATTAATGACTGCTGCAATTGTATATTTCCCCCGGGAGACACGGAGGGTCAAATGATAAAATTGTATTCCTTCTCATTAGGTTTATAACGAACACGGTGTGTGCCCTCATTTTTATTATTAATTAATCCTGCATGACATAATGAGCACTTAGACCGGTCGTAGTGTTTGTGACTGATGGGCTTCTCCCCTATAATTTTTCATAATTATTTTATAATGTGAATAACAATAAATAATAATATAATAATAATGGTAATAATGAAAAGAATAATAATAAGGATAATGCTTATTATTCTTACTATTATTAGTACTGATATTTTTATTATTAGTATAAATATCAAGCTTTAGTTTTGCTTTTTTTCCATAGTACAATTTGTTTTGCTTTTTTTATTTACGATTTCTTCTTTTGTGAATACTACAACTTGGTCACCAAGACGTCCTTGCATCTATAAAACCATATTTCTGTCCTCTTTATTTTCAGCTTTAAACAACATATTTTATTTTCATTCTGTCTCTTGGGTCAGAGCTGCAGCCTTGGATTCAAACGCTCTGTTGCCTCCAACCAAACCACCAGCGCTCCTCATAAAATAGTGCGCAGTGTATACATGATGGTGGGTTTACAGTTTAGTCTCCATTGCCCCATTAGCAGCGCCGATGCTGTGACTTCTTCCTCTGTCTTTTCCATCAGAATATTTTTCATGCTTTGCTGGATTTATTGTGTTTATCAGATGCTGATACTCACCCCCTCTGATACTCACCCCCTCTGCTCTCCCTCCGCAGATACAAGGTGAGGTCATGTGTTATTGAAATAGCAGCAGATAATGGCACAGCTTGGCGTCTGGAGGAGTACGCGTCACATCCCATGTCAGAGGTAACCTCAACTGCAGTAGCAACACTTTACTGGACCTTGTTTTCTGCCTTTGTGATGTTTGCCTATCTAAGATGTTGGAAACATTTTTTCTTTCATTTGCGAGGCGTCGATTCAGCATCCCTGAGTGAACGAGCTGCTTCCCTCACACTTTATTCCAACAGCCTTTAAAACCAGTCCTTTATTCTCTCTCCTTTACATGAATTTCACACTGAGCAAAGTGCTTCATCAGGAGGAGTTTAGCTACAGAGACATGAAATAATGTTGAAAAGAGCGTGAAAATATTTCTGTCATATCAGTTTGGCTCACAGCTCAGTGAGTTTGAAGGCTTTTTTCTCCTTCCATATGAATCTATTGTCGTGTTGTCTTTGAGCGGTAGAAAAACAGTGTTTGTGTGTATTTCAAAGCAAAGTAGATACTGGGTTTTGTTGTGAAATTGAAGGCTGAAGGAACGAGAATGAGAAGTTTGCATTTCAACATACTTTACACGCAGATACATTTGGAATTGCCCTGGCTTTTAGGAGAGATTTAAGGAATTAAATTTCAGCCATGCACTTCAAAATGGATAGCTGAGAGGCTGGAGAGTAAACAGGTCATACTGTACAGTAGAAAGATAGATAGGTAGATATACTTTATTGATCCCAGGCTGACAGTGACAGTCTGAGAGGTTCTAACAGTTCATCAAATGTTCTGCTATATTCAAAGCACAGCTTCAGACTGACCAAATGATGGCGGCATTTGGATAGTAATAGACTTTTATAACAGAACTTTTACACCACACTTTGGGAATCCTAGGTCTGTGCCTAACTGGCCTGCCAGCAGCCCTGATCTGTAGCTCAGGAAATGTCTGATGTCTGGTGCATCGTAAACAGATGAACATTCTTTATGGAATGTCTCCAATGTCTCCAGTACAGCATTTTGAAAGTTTAATACATAAATACTTTTTGTAATTTTTATGATTAAAGCCCAAAAGCTTTATACACTTTATACACTTTATACACTATCGCGGGATCTCGCATGCTTTCGGAATTATCGCGGAATCTGGATCGCCGCGCTCCGCACCACTGCCGTAACGCACCCGGTGGAATATCAGGGTCACGGTATTTTTTTAAAAGCCATTTTCCTGTATTTATTATTGCCTTTAATTAGGTGTAGCGCTGGTGACTGTAACATCATGAGCAGATTAACTGTTTCCTATCAAAGGCAGCGTAGTGCACTATTTTTAGCTAAAAAAAAAAAAAGAAGTTGGTTTATGAATGAGGAACAGCAGCTCCCATTACATTTTGCACCTGTTACATTTGTTTCCAAGATGACACTCTGTAAGCATGTAAGTAGGACTAAGCTACTTCTCACCTGATAATCACAGTCTGGACTTTTTACTCTGGCTCATTAGTTTGATTAACAACACCTATATTTGTTATTAAATTAATAATTTTGTTTTTCCCTTTCAAAGACACAGAGATGGGCCTCAACCTTCCCACAGGCTCAACATGCCTCCACCACCTTGGCTATGATTTATGGTTTTCTAATTTCAGATGCCAAGTTGTTTTTCTTTTTTCTCTTTCTGCTCCTTCTGCGTTTTTATCGTACACTGATTGCCAGTTAAACTTAACCGTCCTTTATGTGAATTTCATTTATCACCAAGATGTAAGTGAATTGGTTTTGATTTTTCTCGAGTGCCAGTAAATTTAACTAAATGCAGGCGAGCGGGCAACATTTGGGCTTTGACTTGGATTCATTAAAATTATATGCAGTAGTAAAAGCAGCAAACTAGCTTAGCTGTTGGCAAAAACATATTGTTACTGCGCTGAGGCGAACACTGCACTATAGTAGTTAAAAATAGAAATGTTCTGCTTGACTCGCTTTCACTTTCTCAACAAATGCTTCTCTGATTGGTTTCAAAGTTTGACAGTTCGCTCCCGAGGATGCCAGAAAATCCAGAGGTGCTTTGAATTTGTTGCTGAGTACATGAGCTGTACTTCAGTTTTTATCCCATTTGTTATTTAAGTGCATTGCACATGCACTATAATTGTAGCATCTACACCGCTGACGTTACATCATGAAAAGACTGTAAAATAGCAACTGGGATAATGAATCATTTGGATTATAACTAGCTTGAACTTCATCAAATCATTTTTCTATATAAACAAATACTTTGCTATAAATATACTACATTTATTTGACTAGAATATTAGCAGCTGGTTAAGCAGCTGGCAAGCTAGCTTAAGCTGTAAACAAATGCATGACAAAAATATTTGTAATTTCAACTAATTTTGTAGTACAAAGGCCAAGTATGTCATTTTGACACTTGACAAAATGTTATTTGTTAAAATTGTGAATGTTTCTTGAATCAGAAGATGCAGTCTCCCGTGAGACTCAGCTAAGCTAACTCTATCTTGCTAGCACATTACAACTCTCCAATTCCAGTTTCTTGAAATATTAGCAGTAAAGATATGGCAAAATTCAGACACCACTTGTACAAATAATATTTAACTGTGTCTCAGTAAGCATGGAGAAATGTGCAGTTCTTTGACAATACAGCTAGAGCCGCTCACTCTGATGCTGCCTCCAAACAAACATCAGAAAACAGTTTTGAGAAAGGCATGAATATTACATCAGTGGATTCCTCCAAATGTACTTTTCTTATAAAGGTGGTAAACACACTTGAAGGCCTCATAAATGCCGTTCCAAAATGCAGCTCTAAAGGTACTGAGCTGTTTTTGCTCACAGATACATTTTTGCCTATTGGAAAAAAAATCTGTTTTATGTAGTCCCACATAGCTCCCTGTGATCCATGTTATTTAAGAGTTCATTTTATGTCATGTCAACATCTTGATTACGTTGACTAACACTCTGAACACCCACGGTGCAGCTGACACCTGAACTCCTCCACTATGGCATACGTTACATCAGAGACAGGTCACAGTCATGTAACTTCTGTGAAGAACATAACTGAGTCACCATTTTTTTCTATTTCTATAAGGTCACTGTTGTTAACCGCCCTGTAGTCTGACTTCTAGACTTAACATAGGACTGATTTATTATTATTTATGTATCTTACCTTCAGGTTGGTAAAAACAAGAAAACCATGTGGAACGTTTATTACAGAAAAAAGCATTATTTACTTATTTTTAAATGTAGGCAAGCTAACCAAAGCTAACTTATTACAAAGCTACTTATTTGTTGTGGCTTCTTGTCAACATTTAAATTATATCGTAATATAATACCGTATTATTAATTAAGTCCAAAAACTAATGTATTACTAAAACTAATGTATATGTAAAAAGTGTGCTTTAATTCATAATTACATTTAACAAATCAGTTTCCCATAAAAAAAGCCCAATTTAGGATTTATAGACAATGATGAGTCAATTTTACAGCCATTACAATATTACACTCAATGAAAATTGGGTGTCAAAATAACGATGATGTTTCAGTTCTATTTATGTTTATGTTAAGCAACAATAATAGCACAGCAGCCTGGGGGGAAATGGTTGTCTAGGTTTCATTTTACTGCAACTTGTGTGAGATTTTCAGCAATTGACATTACTATTCAATTACAGCAGATTGAATGTTCAAAAAAAAAAGTCTGTTCATAACACACTGAAGTTCGAGGTTCAGCACCAGTATCTCAAGGCGATGTTGTGTAATTAAAGCATCATGTGGAGCTCATTTTAAACCTCTTCTCACAACATCATTATTTGACAGATTTTTTTTAACTGCAGCTGTGATAAATGTTGGTTCATCTCTTAGTACAGATTCATCATGCATGGTGTGTATATGAATGTATTATGTAAACCTAGATTGGAAGTAGTAATCAGTATTCATTTGAATAACCCGGAGGGTCACTCACTGCAGCGAGTGAAATATATATAATTCAGTGCTAATGTGACGCGGTCTGCGGTTTTTGATGCAGCTGTACATTGGTACCTCGCACTATTACGCCTAGCTTGTTAAATTGACCGTTACGGTGGAATACGCAGCAAGTTCACAGAATTTATCTACATTAATTCTACCCAATTACCTCGCGCATCAAAGAAAGCGTGCCACACTATTCCACACGTGTTACTTCTCCCTAGTTGTACCCAGACAGGTATTTATATTTGAATTGTAAAGGTCTAAAAGACAGAAGGTTGTATCAGAGGATAAGTGCGTTGGGTTGTGTTCAAACCACGTGAAATAACACTGAACCACATTGTCACATAATAATAATAATAACAGACTTTATCCTTATATTGTGATTATAAAATTCCAGCTTTCAGAAAATAATAATAATAGACTCCCTTAAAATGACAAAACATTGTCTTTTCTGAATTTGGGTTTTGTATTTTAATTATAACCCAGACCCTATAATTAGTGCCATGTCTTTGTGTAGTTCTTTTACATGTGTGGACAATTGTTGGCTTTTTTCACTATAATACTGATCACTCTCTTTTTAATAACTCTTTTTTTTTTAGGCAACGTTTGGTCCTATAATTCTTGGCGATGTGTCATCCCATTGGGAGATGCATGGCAACGGTTCAAGGGGAGCAAAGAGATTCATCGGCTGTATCAGGGAACTTCAGGTCAACTCTAAGGAGATTTACCTGCTGGGTGAGGCGGTGAAAGGGAGGAACATCAAAAACTGCGATCCTCCTGTCTGCCAGCAGCTTCCATGTCGTAATGGAGGAACTTGTGTCAGGTACGCGGTCGCCTTTTCCTCCAATTAAACATTACTTAACTGACTTTGAACTTGAAACCCATGGAGAATAAGAAGCAGGAACCACAATATATTCCTCTTTCTGTAATAGTGAGACGGAAGGAAAAGGATAAAATCTTAAAGGAAAAATAAAACAGCAGGAGCTGTGGGCTAATTATGAATTAGATAGGTTACGGTGTTTGTGTCTGATCACACTCGATATCATTTAGATCAGACACTTTCTCATGCCAGCGTGATCCACTAAAGCAGCAGACTTAGAGCCAGGAAGCATCTATTCAGAACTAACACCCAACCCAATTAGGCAGCCAGTGAAATGGCAGATATGGCAACACCACTGTGTGAAGTTGTGAAGCATATCTTGTCAACAGTGAACAAATGAGTGTGAGCCCGCGGTGTGTGATGAAATGTGAAACCCAATCAGTGGCTCCATATGAAAATTTGTCGACAATTTTTAAAAAAGAAAATGCAGTAAAATCCTGATTCTTAAATTAGTTATTGCACTAAAACCTTTACTTATCAGGCAAAAAATATATAATAAAGTGTGTAGAAAAGTATTGGCTTGAAGTTGACAGGCAACTCTCTCAGTCATGGGCCATGAACAGTCTGGATGATGGTGGATGCTCTTATTTTATCAAGCCCTGACGGCATGTTTTTCTTATCTGTGTTACTTTTTCATTTAACTGATTTAATTGTGTTCAGCTTTGCATAAAAATGTTGAAGTTCAAAACCATAATTGGCCGCTAAATAAGAAAAAATATGTTTTTTTGACTACCAAGAAAGAAAACATTGCCCATCATTGTTTTAAAATAGTAAATAGATCAAAATAATTAATATCGATACTTTTTTGGGCATAATCAATACTATCGATACTTGTACGAGTATTGATATAATGTATCAATATCACGGAATTCAGTCACACATTTGTAAAGTTAAAAAGAGTTAAACCAACATCTAACCAACTTTAAGAAAAACAAAAACACCAAGGTAGGTTTTATATTCAGTCTAACGTCAGGTCCTGTTGTTGCTGCTTTTTTTTTTTCTGTCTGGTTTTTTAAGTTAGACTGATTGAAAGGTAGAGACGATCCCTCAGCCGCAGTCAGTCTCCTGTGCAGGCCCAGATCCATCTTTACCTGCAGCTCATCAGACTGCCATCACGCTCCACTTCCCAACACCGTCCACTTCACATTGAAGTATGCATTAAATACATGGAAATCTCTTACCTCAGATAATCCGTTAAACAGAAAGCCTAAATGTCTTCTTCATTGTGCTAACTCACTATCAATTAACAGCTGCATTTATGGAACAGGAAATGAAAGGGGGCAGTGGGAATATTGGAATATGAATAGCTTTGAAAATACCAATTAAGAGCCTGTGGCAGCGTGGTCACATTGGCCTGTCATGTGTGAAAGAGCGGTCTGGCAATTATCTGTGTGATGAATATGCGTTAATGCAGTGTACTCTTGAACCATGCAGCCCGTGTGGGTCACCTGGAGTTCACAGAGCTCCGTTCAATCTGTTAGTCACCTTGTATCGCTCTACCACAAAGTGGCGTAAGCCCACGGATGGCGGGTTCAGTTGGGGTGATTTCAACACACAGTCCACCTTTTTCATGTGGATTTCTGTTCATTAAAGCGTGTGAAAAAATATCAGTTTTTAAACTGTGCAGGGTTGTGGCCAGTGAATGATAGACGCAGCACGCATCAGGTGTTCAGTTGACACCAATATGAAAAAGCAGGCAATCTGCACCAAAGGACCCTGGGTGTTTTATTCTTTAATGCCAGCTCTGGGATACCTGATATCTTTGCCGTCTATAAACCTCAGCTGCTGGTCGACCAGACCATGTCATTAGACCGGCCGTAAATGCAGCGGATGGAAATGTTAGAGCAGAAATTGTTTTTCTTCAGGCACACGCTGAGATTCGTGCAGCAGCTCCATAATGTCACTGAAAAAAGGTCAGAAAAACCAAATCAGAAATTAATATTTGTCTGTCCAGTCACACGGTGCATGTACACATCGTGTCATCATGGCCTGATTACATGATTACAATGGACCACTAAATAGCCGCTCAGTCCAACTTTCTGTCTGTGAACTGATGCTGAAGACTAATCTTTGCCCCATAAAATTGTATTATTTCAATGGTAGCTGTGGTTTAATCACAGTCAGTCCTGATGAAAGGGGACAAATGAACATCCCTTAGAGTGACCTTTTTTTTTTTTTTTTGTATAAGGTCGATGAGTTTTTGTCTTTTTTTTTTATTTTGTGATTAATCCAAATTAAGGATTTGTTAATATGGAACAATAGTTTTTAAAAATCTGTCAGATTTTACTGTACTGTACATTTTGATGGGGGCTTGAAGAACACAGAGAGTAGCATTTAATACTGTCCTCAACAACAGTACCCAGTAAGTCTCACAATTCATTTAGATCACTGGTTCTCAAACTGTGTTTTGAAACTGCGGGGAAAATTCATATTTTCACATTTAAATTTTATTGAATAAATCTGAAACATACCATCTACATACATCTTTATAAAAAATTATAAACATTTATAAACATACTGTATCTCCTGTGTGGTGGGAGCTAATAGGGAAGGCCTATGCTGCTATATTCTAATGTTGGTCATGACGGTGGTACTCAGAGAGTTCAGCGTTATCTCAGGTGGTACAGAGTAGAAAAAGTTTGAGAACCACTGATTTAGATGACGGACAGACATGAACTGAGCACCAGAGCTGAAGTTAAAACGGCACAAACCTGTGGTGGGATGGAATTATTGGATGTTTAATTTTGAAAGCCCTAGTAATTTTAGTCATTCTTTTTTTTTCTTTACCTTTAAAAACATCAAATAACTGTCATTCAGAGTCACACTCTTGTCTAACTCTCTGAGTAAAGATTGTTCTGCCTGGGTTTAGACATTGGCTCACATTAATTTAAATAAGTCTGGTCCAAATAGATATTTCACTGGAACTAAATGGACCTAAATCACATCCCCAGACAGTTGCTGTTTTAGTTTTCTTCTTCTTTTTTTTCTCATTTCACTGAATGATTGAACCTTATTAAGACATAAGTTTCTTAAAACATTTTCGACTTTCCTTTTCTGCCTGTGGCATCAAGCCCAAAGCTCTCTGGCTCCTAATAAAGATGTAAATCTGTAAAAAAAAATATTTCACGAATGCAAAGTGTCTGGCCGCATTAGACAGGACTTTAAATAACCAGGCGATGCTTAATGGGATAGGTTAGAAATTAGAAATTCCCAGGAAACAAGAATAATGAAAAGAATATGGCCATTAAGTGGACAGACCTACATTTTACTTCAGACCTTATTCATATTCACAGTGTTTTGGGGGCTTTTTGGGTTGTTTTTTTTTTTTTTTAAACAGCTCGTGCTACAGTTGATGGAGCACAGCTATCAGTGGTTTCTGTTCTGGTTGTGTTTGTTGTGTTTTTGTGTGTGTGAGTGTGTGTGTTTTATCAAAGCCAGTCACATTAACTGATGCTGACCGACTTAGATGGAAAACAGTTTTGTTTTGTTTTTTCATTCTCTTTCTTATTCCTCATATTTATTCCAACCTTTCACCATGTAATTACAGTATTACACAGTTCACCAGGCTCCACAAAGGTAATTGCCGATGATCAGAAAACAGCACAAGTCAAACGCTTCCTAACTCAGATCCCAAATTAGAAATGGTGGGAAATAATTATTCTGTCATTATGGAATGACAGGCTGTAAAATAAAGTAATCACAACAGACACCAACATCTGTGGAACACTGTGTTCTGCAGTTTGAAAGATTCTCTTCTTCACCCAGAGGTGAAGTAAATCCTATTGTCTTGTTCATTCCAGCAGCAGACGATGTCACAATACTCCACATAATGGCTGCTGCCTTTTCTGCCCTTTCTTTGTCTCTCATTCCTTTTTTTGTCTCCACCATAGTTCAAGCTGTGTGTGTGTGTGCGTTTGCATTTATGTGTGTGTCTTCTCTGTGCAGTTACGTCTTCATTTTTGTATAAGGAATAATATTGCCATATTATTTGATGCTATTAGAGCTATTAAACATTTTAACTGATTGATCAGAGAGCAACTGTGGATTAATCATAATTAATTGTGATCGATCATTTCGTCTCTATTTCTGACTGGAATTAATTGTATTTATTTATTTTATTCAATTTGATCTAATGGAGTTGGTTTAGCATAAGCTGAGAAACTGACCGTGTGCTGCCCACTGTTCACTTTGGTGATGGGTTAAAAGCAGAGGTTAGATTTCGTTGGGTGCAGTGTCACAATGACAAGTAGTTCACTTTCCTTCATTTCCACTTCTTTTGTCCATAGTCAGAAGTTGTAGAGTGGAAAATCTGAAAAAGGTACAATGGCAACATATGAATATACTTTTGAGTGGTTTGATTTGTTTTGGGGTTTTTTTTGCCTGGCACACTGTGTTCTAGGTCAGTCTGTGGAAATATTGTCTGATCCCCAGAGAAAAAGTTCCCTCATGCCGCCTTTGTGTGGAGGCTTTATTTCAAGTGTCATCCAAAGTATTTTCTTTTTTTGTGGCAGTGTTTTTCAAAAGGCTGTGAAGGAGACTTAAAAGATGCCACATCTTCTTCAGCATCATAAATACTGTCTGCCACGGAGGCCGAGGTCAGGGAGAAATTGAACAGTTGTCAGCTCAAACAGGTGCTTGAGTGAATCTGATGAATTCAGTGTACGAATCGTCAATGTTTGTTGCATGTAATGTTGGAAATGAATGGGAATATAACGTATATTACAATGTCAAGTTTGTTGGTCAACCTTACTCTCCTTGACAGTCAAGTAAAAAACAATGAGAACTTTTGAAGCTATTTTTTCTCTGATCCTGTGAAACCTCAAGCCATTTGTGGGGTAACTGTCAATTATCTTATTTGATGTGCTTTTTATTTCCTTTTCCTCAACAAATGACCTTGAGATGTGTATACATTACCACCTTCCTACACGTCCCATATGGTCTAGCGATCAGGATTCCTGGTTCTCACCAAGGTTGGTCTGGCTCCAACTCCCACTATCGGAACACAGTCAGTCGACGGGATAAACACAGATAGTGTTTTTGAGTCCAATTCCAAACTTTTTAATTAAAAAATACATATATTTTTTATGACACACAATTTTTTATATATTTTACCTGTCAAAATATCCAAGGCTGAGTGTTAGATTTAAATACAAAATTGTTAAATGTCTTAAGTTGGTAATGCTGGTGAGTATTTTACCAGCTTTCCCAAGTTGAAAAAGTAAAGTTTTTAACATTTATTTAATAATAAATTGAAAACTAATCTCAAGAAATAAAAAAATCCCACCATCTGGATCAGATGTAGAACATGACATCATCAGTGTTAGTGATGACAGAGGATGAAGTGGACTAAATACTCCCAGAGAACTGCAGACTGTGGGGCAACAGAGCTTCATATTTGCATACAAACAAGCGCTAGAAAAGAGGTTTTTCTGGAAGATTTGAGAGACATTTGTCACAGAGCTCATTGTTCTGGGTGACGTCTGTATCATAGGCCTTCCACTCTATTATTTATGATTTTTATCTGCTATTCATTAGATTAAAAATGTAGTTCCCCCATAATTTATACTCAGTGAGCGAGTGTGCTGTGGCACTGCAGCCTCTGAATGGCATGAAATATGGCGGGTGGCAACTTAATTCATTTGCAGTTAACATATTCAAATTAGTCCGCAAACATAACTGCAATTTAGTCATCAAAGTGATTGCCTCAGGAAAATTAGAACAACCTTTTGTCACCCCCACATATCAACTTTTTTGATTAGGCCGATTAAAACCCCGAGTGTTTTTTCGACACGCTTCTTCCTTTCATCTATTTACACCTCACCTGTTTTTTTTTCAAACAGATACCATACACACAGTCCACCTGTCATTCAACAATTTTAGTCAGGCAATTATGCATACACTCAATTAAAAAAAACAAACATTTAATGTTCCTAAATGTGGATAAAATTATAGCTGTGCAGTCCTATTTTCTTTTAAATGCTATAATTTTATGTACGCTAAATAACATAGAATTAAGGCAACATTTAATTTAAACCACATCAAGACAAAGGTAATAAAAACAAAATTCAAGTGCATTAACCTTTTTTCTTTGACATATGTCAAAGCCATTGTTTGTCGCTGGTGCCGGCAATTACAGAGTGAACTGACTTCAACAGATCTGAGAAGAACTGCTGTACTGCAGCTGTAGGAAGTGTTACTCTCCAGGTCACGTTTTCTGCTGCTTTGTTTTATTCCTCTGTATAACGAGGTATTAGAGGCGCCCCCTGTCCAACCAAACTCACATTATCTTTGTTTAAGTTCAAAAGATATGAAAAACTACACAAACAAACAAACTATTACTTCAACCACAGCCAGCCGACCCAACAGCGTTTGTATCTTCCGGATTCCCTGAAGCTATCTTCATGTATTATTAAATCATATTCTCTTCCTCTGGTTGAGGAATAAATACATATTTATTTTAATGTATAGACCAGGTTATTAGTCATTTCCAGGCAGTAACCCCATGTAGGGATACTTGGTGCTGCAGTCGTAGACTAGGATATGTTCACACACTCCTGACATTAGAGTGGAATTACAGAGAAAGTCAAGAGAGAAAAACAAAAGTTTTAAAAAGCTTTAGTATGTTTTCTATTCTGTTCATTTCAATCAAAGACTGAAATAAGAGTAACAGAATTTTTCTGTTGTTGGATTAAAAAATACATCAGATCCAAAAATGTTGCAAAATGGTAAAAAAAAATTGAAAACTAAAAAGGTAGCTTACATTTTTTTCATAACTGTTCAATTGTTTTCTGACATTTAAGGACAGTGACGTCAAGTACATTTTAAAAAATTAGATAACCTTTAAAAATCACGTCAGGGCTGAAAATAGACACTATTGCCACACCAGTGTTGTGCAGAAAATATCAGAACAGGTAAAAAAAAAGTACTTTTCTCCAGAACTACATTTAGAAAAAAAAGTGTTTTATTATCATCATCCTTTTAAATCTAGGTTTAAATTGTTGCCACCCTTCACTTGCTCGTAAAGCAATTGATTTTTACTGGGAGATATTTACGATCCTTACAAAGCAGTGACAACACAAAGGGACAAATTAGAGGCACTTAAAGCACCGAAACATGGAAAATCCAGCAGGAGTTACCGACTGTAATATTTTATTCATCGAATGATAATGTCTGTTTAGTGCATGACAGTTTCCATGCGTGACTGTTACTGTGTCGTTGGTCACAGTCGGCAGAAGCAGTCTGTCACCGGTGCCATGAAATATCTGCAGATATTAACATGTTACAAGACGGTTAGCTGGAAATTTCACTGCATTACGGCATCAATAAAATCCTCTTTAACAATGCTCAACACTGGTGACAGAGTGTAATGTAAATATTTCATTTTCAAGCAGCCAGTATTTCAAGGAGCAAAATAACATCCTGCAGTGCCGCTGCTCTAAACACATTATTAATTTATCGATGTGGAGCCCTGCCAACGCTTCCTCCTTCAGATATCATACCTTTCAAAGTTACACACATCTGAAAGCTTTTTATAAAGTCTGAATTGAGGGGTGCTTTGAACAATTTTGAACCCCTCTCTTTCCTGCCAAGAGGAAGCACATGTGAGCTAGAGAGGCAACATTGGAAACCGTGTAACTATTTCTGGTTTTGGTATGTTCGCTGACACACTGTTCATCATTGCACTTTCTACTCTTATTCCTTTGCATGTTTCTATTTTCCTCCAGCACTGACTCTCTCTATTATTCATCCAAATGGTCTGGTTTCAGCAGATGTTTTCCTCCAGGTTGCTGGGAACATTTACCCTTAACATGTTTTCAAGTCTCTCATGCATTACAGGGCACGATGTC